AGCAGGTGGACATTATCTTTGGACAAGTTATACATACTCAACACTATTCAAGGCTTGTCATGCTATTCCAATGCCAAAGTCGGATGTTACAAATAAAGCCCATATCACCATTGAGTCACCAACAGACCCCCACTGCGACGGATAAAATTACCAAGTATCTTTTCACCAATACTGTAAATATAAATAAGCTTGAATTTTAGCAGAGTCAGTACGTAATGTAGTCATTTTGATTGATATTATATTATTTTCTATCTACGAAACTAATCCCGACCTCTCCTCACCAGTTAGTTCCGGCATGCGAGATTTTATAAGATATCTCTTCAATCTGACCAGTGCCAATAGAACAACTCATCGTAGATCTTGTATCCAACTTCAATATCAATTGACAATAGCTGGATTGACTTAACAGGGATAGTTTTGTATAAATTTCCCAAGAAAATGGTAATAAAATCCCTTTCCTCTATGCATTCAGGAGCACTTTGTGACTATCGTAGTACTGGCACCTCCCACGAGCCAACTCGTGAGAGTCCACGAGCAAGACGGGATGACCCATAGCCTGCAATGAGACAAGTGGGCCGGGTTTATTTGCTTGTTCCTAGATCTAGACCTTAGCCTAGCCAACTCGTGAGCCCTGAACATACGGGACGAGCTATGACATAGGCCGACCCATTCAACCCATCTTTTTTTTCACTTTTTTTGGGGATTTTGTAAATAGTTTTTAATACTTTTGAAGTGTTGTTTAACATTTAAAAGTTTATGTAATAATTACTAGCTAACAATCACCACTATAAGAATAAAAAAATAATATTACTAAGTGAAATTGTATATTAGCATACAACGATAGAGAGAAACATCACAAGCACAGAGATTTTACGTGGTTGAGTACAAGTCTTACGTCCACAAGCAGTAGCTAATTGTTCTACTACTTTAAAAAATAAATTACAACAAATTACAAGAAAAGAAAAAGGAAAAAAAAAGAAAAAAAAATGTCAATTCTTCTTCATTCTCTTCGTCTTCCTCGTGAAAGAAAGGCGCAGTCCTCATTGTAATCGTTCCTCTGCATCCAGCCAATCCTACAAACAAACACACATCTCTACATGTGCGGTGGTTAGTTGTGTCTTCCATTGTGAAACTACTCGTCCACCTGCAGAAAATGTGTTCTTAGAGGTCACTGTAGAAGTGGGAGGGTTTAGAATGTCTTTGGCTATCATAGAAAGTATAGGATAATTGTGACTCCCTTTTCACCATGCTAGTATATTGAATAATTTCTAATAACCCTCAAAAAGTATTTCTGAACTATCCAAATACATATGTAGTTCTGTCATACTTGCATTAGATGCCTACTTCATTTTGATTCTTGTAATCAATCTTGATATCCAGTGTGATTTTTTCTTTCTGGAGCTACAGAAGGATGCGGTTCTTGTTGAGGCTGCAAAACCTTCAATTCCTGGTTCGGGAACAAAACATCGTTATATATTGAAAACATACTCTCTAGTATATCGTTAATATCTTTTACCGTATTATCAATGTAGGCGTCAAAAATTGCCTATAAGTACCCGAATGCAGCTCGAGACGAGAAGAAGGTGATAAACATCGATATCCAAGTCAAAGAGAATTATCCGATGCCAAAGGGAAGCAAAGGAATGCGCGAAATAGCGGAACGAAGAAGCAACAAAGCGCTCAAATCGACTAAACAACGAACGAGACACAACCAATATGTCTTGAAACCTGAGACAGCCATTTGTGTCTCGGGGCTAAGACACAAAAGTGTGTCTCGGGGTCGAGACAGAGATATTTGTCTCGCATAGGCAGATTCCCCCGAAATGCGTTTTTTGATAAAATCTCGGGATTCATGTTGTCCAGTGCCTCCCTAACTATTTTGGGAACATCCCTAAATGCTGGAAATCCATTATTAACTGAAGATAAGATCAAATCACGAATTCCTATCCGAAAGCATAGCATTCGAAGCCTATAAATACACTCCTAGAGCCCCTATGCATGGGGGATCGGGAATTTGGAATTTGGAGGCGAGTTGCTGACCCTATAAGAGGAGAGCCACAAATTTCAGATCTAAATGTGAGATCTTGACTAATTATTTAGCATAAAGAGGGAGCTTTCGAGAGATCTGTAATATTTCCATCTTCCCTTGGGATCAAACATCATTTTGATCTCGGGAAGAGTATTTATCTCGTATTATTGAGAAATTTACTTCTGTTCTTATGTCTAAAATGAAACAAGAACAACGAACCTTCTTTTAGATCAATCTGGATCTGTTATTCGGCAATCCATGGATCAAAGTGTCACTGACACAGACAAATATCCCATGCAAGCAGCGACCGATAAACGATCCTGCGTGTGTTTCTAGGAGATATCTTTTTGTTTTCGTTGTAACGAGAAATTTTATAAAAATATTCTCTTTTGAATCTATAATTGATAAACAATTGTAATGGATTTAACAATAAAACTGATTTTCGACGCAAACACGCTAGCGACCACAGTGGGAGCCAACAGCCTCTTTGCCGAGTCTATCGTGTCACAATCAAAGATCAAGATCCTGGTTAATGCAGAGGTCGAGTACGAGTTCGACCAACAAAAGTTCGAGGAGTACATCTCATCCTCCTCCTCCAGATCCTCCTACCCTCACAAGTGTAGGAAGATCTCTTCTTTGAAAAAGGTTCGTTGGTCTTCAAATCTGAAGACCCAAGGTGATGACTCTCATCCAATCATTGTTGAAGGTTCCTCTCACAACACCCCTCCAGCATCCAATGAAGCCAGATCCGTGGCTCCTAACAACTCCTCTTCAGTCAAGGAGTTATCTGCTGAAGGTGCACTAATTCTGACGAAGAGGGCTCATCAGAGGTAATGCCAACGCCTTGCACGTCAATATGCCAAAGCCTTAGAGTAGGTTGACGAACTCTGTTATTGCGCAGATGTGGAGTCAAGGAAGCGACAAGTCATGCAGCCATCTCAGCAGCAGGAGATTGGTGTTTCCTCAAAACCTTCAACCAATAAATGGGTTCGCATCAAAAGGACTCATTCAACTCTTGAGGAACACATCCAGAAGCGCTGCGCACTTCTTGCGCATGCCTGTATTCTTGTGCAAAAAGCACAAGAATTACAGAAGGAAGAGGTGACCAAAAAAACCACCAAAACCCCGAAAAACCTGGGTGCCAAAGTCCAAGATGGCTCATAAATCAACTCGAAAGACAGTCGAAACTGTCTCTCCCAGCCAAGACAGAGAAGTCTGTCTCGCATGCTGAGACATCCCAACCTGTCTCGTGCCTGGCCGAGACAGGGAAGTCTGTCTCGCACCGACAGACTTCCCCATGGTGCCTTCCTCACTTCCGTTGGCTCTCGTTCCTGCTCCGATCTCTCCAGTACTACCGGTGAAGCCTCACGACAGTGTTGATCTATCTAAATTTAAGATAACAATGGTAGATCGCCTTGGTACTTTGCACGAGGATCAAGACAAAGTTTTAGTTAAAGAACACTTAGGTCCGGTGAATAAAACCCAAGTCACTCTTTAGGCTGGGGGTCGTACGCTTCCTCCCACCGTTGAGGTTCCACACCCGCAAGGGGGTGGTTCCAAATGCGTGACTCTTGAGAACACCAACAGGATGACACATCCACGTAAGAAGACGTGTTCGTCAGACAACAACATTATTCCTGGGGAATCATGTCAACACAAGATAGGTTGTTCCGGCCATTATGCTGATGAGTTGTACTATCAGATAGAGGGTACGAACAAGTCTCGGAAGAGAAATACTCAAGAAATGAACTCTCATTATCCTTGTGAGAGGCTTATCAGGATAGTATTATCAGAGTGTAGCTGCCCCAAGACCACTCCGCAGAGGGTCTTGGTATTTGAAAGACTTTCC